TCATATCGCGTGTCCCAAAATCCGTGTTTAGACCCTTTTTTTTGGACTTTGACATTCTTTCTTGCCCTTGTCGCAAGCATTTTCCTTTTTTTTTTGTTTTGGGGATGAAGTTTCACCACCTTTAGGACATACTCCCTTTCCTCCTGATTCATTTGGAGATATATGATCAAGGTTATTATGAGGGCTTTGAACATGTTGATGTAGAAGTGGAGGTTGATCAAGCATTGTCATGAATGATGATGATTGTTGCTGCATTTGAAAGTATGTATCATCCAAATTAGGCATGTTGATAAATACATTAGGAGCTTGTCCAAACTGTCCAGTTTGATAAGGCATGAAACTCATATTGAACCTACATGGTGTTGTGTTCCTTGGAGTTCCTAAACTTTGGGAGGGATTCAACTTTTACCATTGCCATTACTAACTCCAATAGAATTCAAGTTGTTGGCCATATCTAAGAATAAAAATAGAGGAATATATACATACAATAATTGTGAGTAAATGCATATGTTACATACAATAATTGTGAGTAAATGCATATGTTATTAGTATAAAATTAATGAACAAACAAAATAATAAAATATATATACACAACAACAATCATACCAAGGAAAAAACACACAGTTACCACACAAGTAGTAAATAATAAATTTACACATGATCATGTTTTAAAGTCCGTTATCAAGTACAAACCTAAACATAGAGAAAATACAATGTCATAACAAGCATCATTACAAATACCTTCTAACGCTTTACTTAAATTCAAGATTCTATAGTGTCCTCACCGCAATACTGTCCACAATAATTGAACCGCATTTCCCAAGCTAGTTGATCTCTACGTGTCTTCCAATTGTTTCTTGAGTGTGTTTGCTTCCTTTGGGTTTTAGGTTGAGAGCAATCAACTATATCGCCTTCATCTTCATTTGCTATATCACCATCATCTTCTGCAGTTGATGGCCTCATTTAGTATGTCTTCATGAAAGTAAGTGCTATTAATAAAACAGAATATGCAGCCCCAGAGCACATTCTCAAAACGATCTCTTCTTCATAACGATCATCATCCATCTACATACCCACATTAAATTATTAAAATTCCACAGTAAATTATTAATGTAAATTCATCATTTTCAATATTACATATGATTTTTATATCAAATTAATATATTACATCTATAAAATAGCATCCAACATTTACTAACACTAAATAAACATACACAACAGTAAATAAAACTTCAAATATATGACCATCACTAGCTTAATAAGGTTTAATGAACCTAATAAAAGAATAATAAAGAACCTAATAAAAGTATAAAAAACATGCTATAATTTTGACTAGTAGGTCTAGGAACTAACTTGAAATTAAAGATTCATTTGATTTTCCCAAAAATGATTGCCAACAGAGGAAATACCTAGTAGTGCCTAGGTTTGTATTTAACTAGTAGGTGTTTTTACATGAGGAATTTGAAAGTGTACCAAAGAAAAAAAACTAGTGGAAACCTGCACGAGAACTTTAAATTCATATGTGATTCTCCAAGAGCAGGCATACATTTGCATTAATTTCTCAAGCATGACATGCAATCACAGAGGTTAGAAATTTAGTACTAGAATTAGAAGGAATTTGAAGGAAGCAAATATGAGAAAATTTCCACAACAAGATTCCAGAATTAGAAGGCATCATTTATATTGGAAAATTTCTACAAACAACTTCAGATTTGCACCAACATTGATATCAGTATTACCTTCTACTGGCAATCAAATACTGAAGTCTTCTTATCATTTGACTCAACAAATGACCAAAAACACACTTTGCTTATAGTCTAATATTCAGATTAGAGAACGACAAATAGCTTAATAGGATGCTATTAGATCAATATGAGGATAGTGATTTAGATACAAGGTCCCTCGACAATAACCTTGACAGTCCTGAGCATGGAAGGGCAAGACGACCTAATTAAGTCTCAACATACTAGAAATAGACTGCTCTGGATTGAGAGGCTTTAAACATATCTAAATAGCATTTGATCACTGATTTTTCCTGCTACATACGTGACAAATGAGCAAGTCAAAAGAAAATTAAAGTGCTAATTCTTAAATAAATACCATACAAATTCTTAGTCAAAATTCCCAAATATGACATGCAGTCACAGAGCTTAGAAAATCATACCATAAAATACCAAATAATGCAATAATCAAGTATTATTAAGCTATAATTTCAATTAGCAACCTAAAAGGCATAGTATTTTTTTTTTCAATTCATAGAAGGGGGTTGCAATTGCATTTGCAAGAATTTACCTTTGATGAAGCTTTAAAAGCGTGCAAAGCGGGAAGTCACCATTTTCAGAAAAATTGAGCACGCAGCAGTTGGGTCTTTATGAGATTGCCCAATTTCAAGGGCTAAATAACAAATAGATCAATCTTAGACAACCCAAAGCAAGAATAATCCAGATCAAGAAAAACCCTAGCTTTCTTTTTTTTTCCCTTTGAGCAATGAAGGCTCGGGGGAGAGGGTGAAATGGAGGGAGAAAGGGCGGTAACTCTAAACCCTAAAATATTTCCCCCCAATTCTGCAAACTGGAAACCAAAAGCCCCCTCTCCCTTTTTTTTAATCGCTTTTAATGTAATTTCCTCTAAATTCGGAGCTCTGAGCTTGGATATGCATTTCCGAGTAAAGCTGACGTGGAAAGCTATTTAGATGAAAATTTTCCCAACGATGAAATATCAAAGCAAACAGATGAGAACAAAGAAATGGGCCACTTTTTGTTCCAAATGGGCTTGGAAATAAGTTTCTGAGCTTTTCTTAACGAACCAAATGGGCCCGAAAGTGAAGGAAACACCAAAAAGTGAAGAAAACATGTTTCCTTATAATTATGACAATGTAGCATCTACAGTACAATTTTCAACAATGTTAGTAAATAGACAAATAAATATCAGTAGAAGTGTTTGTTTTAATACTGTGCTTTGCGTTTCAGTCCTGGTAACATATGAGCTTACATGTAAATATCACATTTTTACCCAATATTGGCTATTTTTCTCGTGAACAAATCTTCATTTACTGGTTGGCATGAAAATGGATCAAGCTAAAAGATATACAGAAATAAATTCTAATTTTTGTATGTATACATGTTAGACAAGTGAAAATCATGCAGAATTTGTGTGAGTAATGCGTATTCCAAATAAAAGAAAAATTTGATAACATATAAAACTATAAGAGCCAGGACTACATTTATAAATTTCATGATTAGAATGCATCTACATTACCTTAGGTTGTGTTTGACAACGCCACAAAACTAGTTTTAGTGGATGCAACCTTGGTCCCACAACCAGTTTTTAGTTCCGTTAAAACTGGGCCCTGATTGAACTATCTAAGTCCAAAATTTGACCCTTAAACTAGTTTCCTTTTGAACCAACCGTCCCTTGGACTAACTTTGGCGTGGTTAAGGAAAAAACTGCACTGACGCAGTTCAGTTTTGTACTTGTCAAACCAAGCCTTAGCCTTTCAAAGGTGTTGGATGACAGCCTCTGGCCCTCCAGGACAAGGTTGAGCAATTGACTATGCTGGCTGATTGTCAATTGGAGGTCAACCCTCTAGAAAAGGCAACTTGGGCAAGAGAAGAGATTTATAAGATCAGCTGGCACATAGGGTAATTTACCATCCTGGTCGGCAGTTTCGGCCCATAGATAGTGAAAAGTCCCTTTAGTTTTGATATAAGTTAATAAAATGGAGAAAGAGTAAGTAGCTACATATTGGGTACCACATTTGTGGGTGAATTAATAATTTGCACTAATTCCACATATTAGTTCCCTTTTTCTGTGTTACTTTTTCTCTTGGAGGAAAATGAACTGTTTCCTTGCTGAAATGTATATTACAAGGAAAAGAAATGAAAAATTGGCCAAGGTCAAGTACATGGTCGATTATAAAAATCTCGCAGCGATCTCAAAGATATTAAGGAAGCTGCATCCACCTTTGTGAAATGCTGTTTGTAGCTTTTTGCCTCGAATTTCAAATGTTGAGAGTTTTTTTCTCTCTTTTATCTACCATCATTTTTCTTGTTTGTGTTAGATGACCGATAATAATTTGAACTATTGGAGTTTGCAATCTCTTTTCTCTTCCATCACTTTTCTTGTTTGTGGTAGAATAAACCAATCGAAGTAATTTGAAGCCTGCAATCTCACGTAGCAGCGATCGGCTGAGAATACTACTTTGACACATTATCTATTGGTTTCTGGCTAATACTAGCTGGTCATTCCCATAAACCAGTCTGTGCATGTTGATTTCACAGATTTGACCTGCAGTCTTGCTCCTTTAAGAATATAATTAGGGTAAACATTAAGAAATTATCATGAACTTCCACCATCTTTTCAGAAAACTAGCATGAACTTTGTTTATTCGAAGTCACTATCATGAAGCTCAAAGGAGCATGTAGTTTCAACAGTAGTATGAAAATTTGGGGGTGGGTGAGGGTAGAAAATTAAATGGTTGTAAGTGGTTAGGGGACCAATTTACTTGCATGCTTATCTTGGACAAAAATGAGTACTTAACGGTTTCATGGTAGTTTCCTGAACTAAATAGTCTATATAGGAAAATTGGAATAAAGGCTTTGTTGTTGATAGTTTTCTAAGAATACTCTCCAAGTTTGTGATAGTTTCTTAATATTTACTCAGTCGGGTTCTATCAGATTATACTCAATTGCTTCTTAGTTCTCTTCATAGCAGTTAGCACATTTATTGATGAGTTTATATTACATTCTCAATTTAGCTAAATTTGTTTGTTTTAACATTAGTTTGCCACAGAATCGTGTAGCTATATATGCTCTGTAATGTTCCTTCTAGTGACTCTTGCACATGTCTAGTATTTACAGTTTTGAAGCAATTTTGCTTTCATTTGAAATGCTATTGGAATATTGTGTGCGCATGCATGCGTGCGTGTGTTTGCCTCATGCATTTTCTTATATGTATCCACTCATTCCATGGTTATCTAATGTTGGTCGTTTTAATTGCAGAGTCTGGAAGCATATTATCAAGAAGCAGGGAGAGCTGGAAGAGATGGGAAGCTAGCAGATTGTAGTGAGTACATTTTTCTATTACATTTTCAGGATATTGCTTTTACATAATCCTTATTGTTTAGTTAGTCTCTTCTCTGTTAGAATTTTCAGATAGCTTAGATGGGGGCAGGGCAATATATCCAAATATTACATTATTTACTGTCATACGCACAATTTGTCCATAAATGATATGAACATAATATCATTCCTTTCCTTCACCCTAGATTTCAGACTATATCTAAAATTTTAGCCTTCTGATACAGCTTTATATGCCAACTTGTCGAGAGTACCAACACTTCTCCCTAGTCAAAGAAGCGAAGAGCAAACCAAACGGGCATATAAAATGCTTTCTGACTGCTATCGGTGCGCATTCTTAATTGTCCCTAGAAAAATGTTTATTTTATTGACTTTATCTTTTTTTTTCTCATTTAATCAAATCTACAGGTATGGTATGAATACTGCAGCTTGCCGAGCTAAAACACTTGTGAAATATTTCGGAGAGGAGTTTAGCTATGATAAGTGTAAATTGTATGTCCTGTTTTTTTCCTCTCATTTCCTTATAATTTTTTTGGTACAAATATTTATTTCAGATAGTTCATGGTTGAACGTGCATTATTGATCTAGTGTACTATAATTTCTGGAAAGAGAGAAAAGCAAGCAACAAGCTTTCACATGGTTTCTCCATGATATATTTGTTTAGTTTATTTTGTTTTTTCTGTTGTGATCCTCTTTAAAATTTCTTTACACACTGAGACCATCTGTTAATTTCAGTAAGTTCTTTTTTTTTTAAATACACTTTCGGCGTATCGGTTAACTTTTGAAGACCTACTGTGGAAAAAGACTTTGATATGTCTAGTTATATGTTGCTGTACTTGCATCTCAAGTCATCATGATTATGTATGTCATATTATAGTAAATTTGGATGTGCCAAAGATGTGAAGGACATTTATTCTACTTTTGAGTGAAAGTGATATTCCCACAACTACACCACCCCCTCCCCCTGCAAAAACGAAAAAAAAAGAAATCAAAGAAAAAAAAATCCGCAGGCAACTGAACACTCAACCACACACATGCATGCAGGCATCTCCAAACCCTCGAAACAAGGGGGTGGGGAAAGAACTAGGTAAAGCAGTACCCACATATATCCTTTTTTCTTGAGGAGAAACGAGAGCAGACTGTTAAAATGTGGATAACAATTGCAGGACTATTAACCCTTCAGGAAACTTAACTAATAAACTTTTTGTTACAAATAACCATGAAAAGGTGAAAATGGTATATGAGTGGTTGGAATGGCTGGGATTGGGTGGTTGAGCCGTCTGTGTATGTTTTCGGTGGTTTGAAGTTTGGGTGTCAAATCCTTGCATTGATGCTTTGGTTTTTGGAAAAAAAATGCAAAATGTTGGAGAAATAAAGTGGGCGTTGAATGCAATAGTTCAATCATAAATTCATCCATTTATATTGTTACACCTAAGATTCTAAAGCTGATGGCCCTGAATGACCTGCCCTTAGCTATTCATAGACATCTCTGTCTAGCAATTTCGATGTGCTCCATCTCACCCTCAACTGGTTACTCTACACAGACTTCAACAACTGCTTTAGTAACAAGAGGAATCACTCAGCGGAAAACAAGAAGTTGTTTATTTTGGAAATAACTGTTAACTTCGTGATGGAAAAGATAAGTATATGTAGGCACATGAGTTGAGCCTCTTTTAATGGGACGACAAGCTAAAAATGAATATCTTCACAGGAAGTACAAGATGCCAAAAACTGTCTCAAATAGGCAAGCATTTTGTAGAAGTATGCTGTATTTCGTAAGAAGAGTAATCTATGGTATTATTCTTAGCTACCTGATTAGATCATTCTGATTTTTTTCCTTGGTTCGGTTTACTTATATGTTTAGTATGAGCCACAATTGCATGGGAACCCAATTCATTCCTGTTCACAGGAGAGGAACGGGAGTGTTGTGTGCCACTAATTAGGAATCTCAGGTACCGGGGGGCTACGCCTATATGGTACACTAGGAAACGTGGTATGCTTTGGGCTCAGTTTTTAATATAGGAATATGAGTGCCTTAGTGTACATTTTTTTGCAAGAGTCAAATTCAAGGATCAATAATGGTAAGAAAATTCTTGAGTTGCGATTAAGGTAGACTTTTTATTGTTTATTTTTCAAAGATAGTTGCTAGTAATTTGAATTCTATCGGGTCGCCGGAGTTGGTGAACTGGGTCGCACGAGAAAGTGACCCAATTTGCCAGTATACAGCATTTTGATATGATTGAACGAGGCTCGTGCTTCGCTATAGTGACCCACATTTCCGACATCTATGGTATGAACTATCGATTCTTAGATTTTTGTATTAGGTTTTGCAAATTCTTTTTCCTTGGTTTTGTTACATATAAGCTTTTAAATGATATTGCATACAAGCATTCTGAATCTATCTACTGTAATCATATACTGCAATCAGTCGAGATCTAATTTAAGCAATTATATTTAAATATTTAGAAGTACAACCAAAATATATTCATATCCTGATATCCAATTATCATTGAGTTCTTAATACTCAACAACGCCACGAAAGCCTTTACCCTAAATGTTCAGGGGTGGCTACATGAATCTTATTATTCCGTTGCATTCTACTATTGCATTCTACTATGGGTCATCTCTGTTAAGTTAATCATTGCCATAACATTCTTAATTGCTTCCAATTTAGGTCTATCTCTAGATTTCATAGCCCCATTAGTTATAATATTATCATTTTTTCTAACCGATACACTTAAGAGATCTCTGTTGTACATCAAATCATCTTAGTCGATTCTCTCATTTTATCCTTAATAGGAGTAACATCTAATTTACTATGAATGTATTCATTTCTTACCACATCTTTTAGTGTATACCTACAAGACCATCGCAACATTCGCATTTCGGCTACACTCATTTTTTTGCATGTTGTTTCTTAATTGCCAAACACTCTGACCTATAAAACAGTTTTAGTCTTATAACCATTCTATAGAAATTTTCCTTTAGTTTTATTAAAATTCTACGATCACATAAGAATCCTGATGCAGTCCTCTATTTTAATCATTCTAATTTGATTCGATGGATAACGTCATCCTCAATCTCATGATCATGCCGAATGATTCATCTTAGATAGCAAAAATGGTTATTTTTTGATATTTCTTGACCATTAATATGCACTATAGGCTCTTTTCTTTTCTTAGTTTTTCTACAAAAAATCTAAGAGCTTGTTTCCACCTTTCTACTTTAAAAATTATACCTCTTTTAGTTTCGTCAACTAACATTATATCATCTGTAAATAACACACCATGGAATTTAATCCTGGATGTGCCTAGTAAGTTGATCTATAACTAATGTAAAAAGATAAAAACTTAAGGCTGACTTTTAGTGTAAACCTATGGTAATAGGAAACGGCTTAGCTTTTCCTTCATTAGTTTCCTACTCAAGTTATTACTCTATCATACATATCTTTATTCACATCGATATATATAGTAGGTATATGTTTCTTTTTTAAAACTCATCACATTGCCTCTCTAGGCATTCTATCATAAGTTTTTTCTAGATTTATGAGTAGCATATGTAGATCCTTTCAGATATGCTTGTCTTCTTTCAGATTTATCTCTCCATCAATCGTCTCAAAATATGTATATGTTTCAAAATGACCTCCCAGGCATAAAACTAAATTAATTTTCAGATATGCTTGTCTTCTTTCTTAGTCTTTGCTCAATTATTTCATAGTATGGCTCGAGTTTTATACCACGATAATTTAAACAATTTTGGGTATCTCCTTTATTTTTATCGGTATCAAGGTACTTTCATTCACCCATCCGGCATTCTCTCTGTCCTAATAATCTCATTAAATAATTTAGTTAATAATCCTAAGCCGATATCTCTAAGGCATTTCTAAAATTTGATAGGAATACTTATTTTTTAGAGCATTTGTAACCTCACTAATTCTAACTTTTCGACAATATTTATAGTTTCTATCATTCACTATACGGTCAAATTCTTTGTGTTACTCAATTGTTTGCTTATCATTAAACAATTTATAAGAATAATTTCTCCACTTTTAATATACCTAATATTATCCAAATTCCTACTCTTCCTTTGTCTAATCTTAGCAGCTTATATCTACATTTTTCTTTCCCTCCTTAGATTCTAACTTCTTGTAAAAATTCTCATAGGTTTTGTATTTAGTCTTACTAACCGCTCTGTTTGCTTTTTTTCTCGCTAGCTTATATTTCTCCAAGTTTTCCTTGCTCCTACACTTTTGCTACTCTTTATATAATATTTTCTTCTTTCTAATCGCCTTTTGCACGTCCTCACTTCACGACCAACTCTTCTTACTATCTAATGACGACCTTCAGATTCTTCTAGTATATTTTTAGCCATATTCTTAATAGAAGACATGCTATTTCACGTAATATTAGTCTCGTTATCTACATTTCATATATCTTCCTTCATTATCTTATCTTTAAAATATGTTAAATTTTCTCATTTTAAGTTCACCATTTATGTCTTAGTCTCTTGTTCACGTTAGTTTTTCTACTCCACTTCTTGATAGACATGTCTAATACCATCAACATATGTTGTGTAAAACTCTCTCGATATAATTTTACAATATTTGCATGTTAACGTATCCACCCTTCTTGTAAGGAAAAAGTCTATTTGACTACTATTAAACCCACTTTTAAAGGTTATTAAGTGTTCATCCCTTTTTTAAATTGTGTATTTGCTATTCTCAAATCATACAATGTTGCAAACTCTGAAATTGATTCTCTCATATCGTTCTTTACTCCATACTTGAAACCTCTATGTATCCTCTCATATCCATTATTATCCATACCAACATGCCCATTAAGATCCCTTCTATAAGCAATTTCTCTTCCAATCAAATTCCTTGTACTAATTCATCTAACTATCTCAAAATTCCCTTTTAGTACTCTCGGGCAACCCTACTTGTGGTGCTTGAGCACTAATAATATTGATAATCTCTACTAATACAATTTTTATTAATATTGTTCTATCTCCAACTCTTTTTACATCTACAACACTATCTTTTAGTATGTTATCTATAAGGACTCCCACTCCATTTTCTATTCTTCTTTTATGTGTACCAAAGTTTATATCTGCTCTTTTCAATTTCTCTAGATCTTTCACCAATCCATTTAGTTTTTTGTAAAAAAATTATACTTATCTTTTTTTTCAAGCATGATATCCACTAATTTCATTGTCTTTCTGATAAGTATACCTATATTCCAAGTAGCTAACCTAATTCTATTCTCCTCTAACAAGTATGTAATATATATATGTATATATAATAGGGTCTGTTTAAATTTTATTTATTACCTATCTTGAATGAATATTTGAAATTAGAATATCAATCTAACGAGGATTAACAAATAAAAAAATGATTGTTAGCTAAACTTAACTATTGGATACAGTTCCCTCATTCGTGTGCGTTAGACATGCTTAAATCTAATATATTATACACAGGCACATACACATATGCACGCACCCTTTTCATTTAAATAATTAGCAATTCTCTAATCTGCCTGTTCCTTCCTTAATTTTTATTTTCTATAATTTTTAAATAGATTATTTATATTTATCAATGTTACATTAAATGCTGAGCGCTTCTAGGCGTCGGACTTGGCGCCCAGCGCTTAGTCGTCTAGGCGGGCGCCTAAGCGGTTTCTGGACGTTTTTTTTATTTTTTATTTTTTTTAATTGTGATACTTAAAGATAAATATATATATACTCAATCAAAGATGCATAAATATTAAAATACCAACACTATTAACTAAATTGCTTGGTTTACCAATTACAATAGCTCTTTATATGTTTATACTTCTCAACTCAAATTATAAGTTCATCTCAACAGTGAAAAACTCATTCTCAACTCAAATTACTGTTAACTTATAAGTTAGTGTTAAGTTTAAGTTAACTATAAACTTAAACTTAAGTTTACTATTAAATAAAATATTGTTAACTTAAGTTTACTGTTTACTTAAACTTAAGTTTACCATCAACAAAAAACTTAATGTTAACTTAAACTTGAACTTAAGTTTACTGTTAATTTACACTTCTTAAGTTTAAGTTACTGTTGTTAACTAACTTAAATAGATATTTAAAAAGTACTCTTTACCTTGTTAGTAGTTACAGAGATCGGGAGAGCTCGGCAATGTAATAGAAGGCGCTAGGCAGACTAGACGTTTGAGCAAGCACCTAGGGCCTAGACCCCTAGGCGTTTGACTATTTTTTAATTATTTAATTATAATAATTGATAAAAATATGTATTAAATTCATATAAATTTAAAAAAAAAGATAGCAATCTTAGTTCCACAATAAATCATGCATACTTAGATACTAAATAGCCAAAATAATAATTAACAATGCTAGAGCCTAAGATGTTTTATTTTTTTTATTTTTAATTACAATAATTGATAGTGAATGTCAATGTTATAGAAAGCTTAAATGTCGGACTGGTGTCTAGGCGGATTTCTTTCTACATTTAAGTGGTGATCGATGAGGTTTTGCTGAAGGTCGGAGGAGGTAGTGAATGTGTTCATATTTGGAGGTTAATGGAATTTGGAGGACGTGTAGGCTACAACGCATAAAATCACAATCAAGACCTATAGAGTGCAATCCACGTAAGCAGATAATGCTCCCATAAACGCTCGTAAAATCTAGGTGGGCAGCCTAAATACCGCCTAGGCTCTAGTTAGGCGGCCTAGGCGTACACCTAAGCGGACTAAGCGGAGGTTTTTTAAAACAGTGATATTTATATGCTTTACTTTTGTAAAAGTTCTCATATCTCTCATCTGCAGATGTGATGTGTGAATCTATTATATTATACGCAGGCACATACACATGATCACACCCTTTTCATCTAAGTAATAAGCAATTCTCTAATCTGCTTGTTCCTTCTTCAATTTTTATTTTATTTAATGTGTAAATGGATTGTTTATATTTAGATGCTTTACTTTTGTAAAAGTTCCCATCTCTCTCATCTGCAGATGTGATGTGTGCATTAGTGGACCTCCCAAAATGCAAAATCTAATAGAAGAAGCTGCTACTTTCATGCATATTCTGAAAGTTCAATCTGTAAGTAGCACTACTGTACCATATTTGTTGGAAATTTTTAGTTTGTATTCTTTTTTTAGTAGTCACCTTTTATATTTAGCACAAGTACCTGCAAAATAAAAAATTTTGTGGTTTAATGCAAAAGACTTTACTTCATATTTGAGTGCATTTTTTAGTTTGTTTCCATGACTTCCCAAGTATTTTAACTTTTAGAATGATTATTTTTTGTAATGATCTCCTGAAATGTTTCTTCTATATTTGCTTAGCCTCATTTGAGGCTGACGCTGATCCAACCAACTACAGGACACCTTAAGCTATTATAATTTTTTATTTTTAGAAGGAATTGTTGTTGGTTTTGAATTGCAAATTCTGTTTCTTCGTTGCTGTTTAGTGAAGATGTAACCTTTCAGGGAAATAGAAGTTTCGGGCATGTATTTCGCAATGGTGCAATTTTCGGTGAATCTAGCATAAGGAGGCCCTATGAGAGAGCCAACTTCAAGATGCTTGTCAGTAAAATAAGAGGGCAGGTTAGTTGTCTCAAATAATACACCCCAACTACGTAGTATCACGTAAAATCTCTGACTTTTTTCATGTCATCGGTGGTTTAGTATAACCACTCTGCACACACGCATGCACGCTTGCAGGTACACGCGCACACACTGTGAACACACATGCATGTGCGCGCACGCACACGGTGTAGATTGAGCTGTATTCTGCTCTCGTGCACATAGTATAGATTGAGGTGGGTTGAAGTGGTACTTTAAGCGTGTAAAGCGGTACAGTGGCTCTGTACTGTAGCTTTAGGCGGAAATGAAGCGGGTGTGCTTTTGTTCTTCAGTATTGCAAATGGTTCTCTCTTGTGTTTCTCAAGTTCTATTCTTTTTCTGTTAGTTGTTCCTTCTTTCTTCCCATGGGGTTTCCTTTTTTGTTATATATTTCTTCTTTTTCTGTCACTTTGTTTCATCTTCCTTCTATGTTTCTTCTAAAAGCTCAATTGGAGTTCTAACATATTTACTTACTTCCATCCAATTAGTAAATTTTTTATGTTAAGTAGGATTGCAGCTTATATAGCACCATGACCATATGTTTGAACACCCTTTGTCATTGAGAAGCATCCGGGATATTTGATTAAATAGTCAACCCATGCTTATAAGGCAGTTTGTAGGCTAGCTACTTTAGTTAAGCAGATTGCATGATGCAAAATCCTGATTGACATGTTTCATCGTGAAACAATTTGTTAAAATGAGGAGTTATTGTTTTAAATGCAAGGTTACATAGTATCTCCCTTGCAGTTTGCCCTTGCGCTATGAATAAATCTTGTGATTTCTGTTGATAATTATCTTCTTTCTTTTTTGGCTGTTAAAAGAATATCTTAGCCTCTTGTTATTTAGTCTTATTTTTATTTTTATTTCTGAATGAAAGTATGTTTTAATGCCCATTTAACTGTCCCAGGAGTTCTCTACAAGTGATTTGTTGTGGTGGCGCGGTCTTGCACGGATATTACAAGATAAGGGGTTTATCAGGGAAGGAGATGAATTGGTATGCACTAAATAGTTTTAAGTGATACTTATTTGTTTCTTCATACTACCTGCTGGATGAAAGTTCTTTTTTCCCCTCTGTTTTGGATCATTAAAAAAATGGGCTCTTTATTCCATTCTGTGTCAGTTTTGTGTTTTAAATTCTAGGTTAGTCAATTCTCTGTAACTTAATCTCTTATATCTAGCATCAAACTAGCATGTTGCATTATAGTTATTATCAATTATGTCAATATTGAATGATATATGCAATAGTCATCTTACAATTTATATGTGATGCAGTGAAATTGATGGTTATCTCATGTATGTATCTGTTGAGTTAATGTATATTAATATGGTTCATATCTTATGATATGCGATATAAACAATAAAGTTAAAACTAATGGATCTCAAGCCCATTTAAAATTTAGAAGAAATTTTCAAAATAACCCTATTTGCATATTTAATCCCAAAAATCGACCCACTTTCAAAAATAGACCTCATAAAGTGTTACATAAAGGGAGGGTGTCACATAAAGTGTTAAACCAAACCCTTCATTTGGCATTTCCTAACTGATGCGGTTTGCCTCCAAACATTAGGTAGGAAAGCTTTTCCAAGCTAGAATGGACAATTTTTTCCAACATCAACTACCCTTATCTCATTTGTGGACTTGTGATTACTTTATGAATACCAGTTATCTTTTGTTAATCAGCCAAAGGAGTTACAAATTACAATTGTCACTATGCCAAAATTGATACAGTTTTCATATTTGGCAGTTGAATTTCCATTTTTGCGTAGTCCTTTGAGCTTGGTTTGAAAATTCCATAGATGTAGCGTTCAAAGTTAAATAGAGCTTGCCATGCCAAAAACATGAAACTCAATCTGGTTGAAGAATTGCAATCCAACTGAATAGACCTCATCACTTGTTATTTTTCTTGTTCAGCATTGAAATAAGTCTGGATTTCTGTAACATCAACGTGTCTTGACCCATGCATGGAATCATTAATAAATTTGCGTGCTACTTGTCATCTTTATTTTTAAGAAGCCGAGGAATTTTAGAATTACTAAAGGTCCTCTCCACTTCATCGAAACTTTGAAGTTCTGGTGAGAATTATGAGTTACACGTGTTAGAACCTTGATTGCTACCATCGTATCTTCTTTTCCTCCCTTAAATCAGTTTCTTAAATGCACCGCCATTGGGATTTGAACTTGGATTTTTTTGATACCATATTAAAGTGCTCTTTCACTACACCAAAACTTCGAAGTTATGATAAGAGTGTACCATATTAAAGTTCTCTTTCACTACACCAAAACTTTGAAGTTATGATAAGAGTGGATGGTTATACTTCTATATTCCAACGGCAGTAGTGGAATACGATCTTATTTGAATAGTGAAATGAAATTCCACATAGGAACAATAATCTAACTACATTTGAAAAATTTTCTTGTTTTATATTATATTTATGTTACTGCAAATGTTCATCATGCTCCAATTTTTCCTACTTGTTACAGGCGCGAGTTGCGATTAATTACCCAGAGCTTACAGAGTTGGGACTGAAGTTTTTGAACTCCAAGTCTGAACAACTTCTGTATGTATGTCCTGAAGCAGACATGCTGCTTTCTGCTAGAAAGTCAAAGCCATATTCTTCTTTCGCCAAAGGGGGAAGAGATTGGGCTAGTCCTGATATAAGGTGCCGGTGTCTCCAAGGACGAAAAGGAAGACCGAGGAAGAAGCCAAAACCTCGGAAGCAGAGAGCAGATACAAGCACAGGAAGAGGAAGGTTGTCAGTAAAAGTACCTAGAAGAAAATTGTAGTCATCGAGTTTTCTTGGTGATACAATTACAGAGGTGAGTATAACTGTCACGCTCTGCTACTGCAAATACATGCAGGGATATGGAGGTCAGTCGGCAGTATAGGTAGAAGGATGCTAGTCCTTTTTTTCCCCCGGCACAAATATTTCAATAAAGAAACAGCAGGCTGTTCTGAAAGGCCAAACTCAGGTGATAGATTCAGATAATAAGTAGTTTTTCTCAATAATAAAAGTGCGGTCCACTAACCACAAAAGTAAAATTCACAAATAAATCATTCCGACAAACTCAGCAAGCGCGAGATCTAGGCCTGCAGTTCATTGGATGAGAGTTTCACACGCTGGAATGACCCTTGTCTTTCTTTGCACTTGGCTTCTATCAAAATATTGCAGAAGCCCTAAAAATAATTTTATTGTGACAAGGGTGCTAATCCATTCCGACACGTACTTAAGCCTTGGTCGATCATCTTTGGTCAACCATCGTACAACATCAAATAAATACAGGTTGTAGCTCTGGAGACAATTAATGTTGAAGCCATGTTGGGCACAGAACCGCACTGGGGAAGGAGCTCCAGTCATGTTGACGAGAAGATGCAAAGGAATGTAATTCCGTGTTCTCATTGCGCACCGCACAAGGTTGAGCACCTGCTTGACGTGAAATGTTTTGTTTTAGATTGGAGTAAAGAAAACTTCGCTAGACAAATTTAATGGACGCCAAGCTTCTAGAGCTAGATTCCTCCTCAAGAGAAGGACAAATTTTCAAAACCATCTCATTTACAAAAAAAAAAAATTAAAAACGACATATTCTAAAAGTAATTGTCAAAATCGATCCAGTTTTAGCCATCTAGCTGAAACAGGTTGGTTTTGGTAAAAAAAAACTTTGAAACTTTGAAGCTTCAGTCTCATTTTCTAAAGAGTTAGTCTCTGGAAAATGTGGCTTGTAACTTCACGGGACTTTGCCTATATAAGGCATAGCCGAGAATTTAGGCCCACACCCACCCCTACACGCGATCACCCCCCACGTGGCCCCCCACGCAACCCAAACCCTAGCCCACTGATCCTGAACCCGTCGCCCCTCATCGTCGTTGCCACCGTTGATGCCGGCCCTATCGTCGGCCCCCACCGGACATCACCGCTGTCGTCATCGTCGGAGTTAACCCGAAATTAGGGCATCGGCAATTTAAGGTAAAATCTTTTTAAATTTGTATATTCTTTTACTTGTGAAAAATTAGATTTGGAAATAATTTATGAATTATTTATTAATTTTGTGAAGAAAATTTAAATAATTTTGTGTATTTAGAGGGGAAATTATCAAAAAATGTAAAAGTTAGTGTTACTACAAAGGTTTGACATTTGGTTATAATTATGGGTTTTTAAAATTGTTATAAGAGATTTAATGGTAAGTAACATTTTTTATATTGAATTTTTTTACTGTTCAGAGGTAACGATGAACGATCGAATCGTAATTTTTTGTTCATATGATGGGAAGATTAACTATCTCAAAAATAATATATTCGTTTATGAAGGAGGTGTGACGAAGCCATTGTTTATATAAAAATCGTGTACTTTCAATGAATTGGTTAATGACTTACACAAACTTACGTTAACCAACTCATGTGAGTATCACCTCAATGTTATTTACAATTATCATGTTGTGGGGAAAAGAACAAGTAGCATTCAAATCTCAAGTGACTATGATACAAGTCTCATTGGAGTATTACATGACGAGAAGCGTTCGGTGGAATTATTTATTAAAAAACATCAGAAAATTTGAGCAAATCGGTGAATCACGACGGAATATACTCCCGCATGTTGGAGGACCTTGAAGTTGACTCCGTCGGTTTTTTATCTCCGCAACAAGATGAAGGCTAGACACAGTCACAATACTTGAGCGGTCCTTCGCACCTGGGCACTTCAAATGCCTTCGATACTAACACGACTCATCAAGATGATAATGCAAGTGTAGAATCCAAGGATGGTGATGAAGATGATGGCTTACAAATTAATAGCATGACGTGTTTGATAGATCGTGATGAAGGGGACAACCATTATATTGACGGATATTATACTAACAATTAGTATGTCGTATTAGAGGATCCGCCGCCTGATGAACTTCATAGAGAAGAATGGATTGATAACTCCATGATGGAAAGTATTCCTATCGGCACTAATATCATTGATGATACACAAAGAGGGTCTATTTGAAAGCAATGAGAAATTGATTCATGAGCTTCGTTTGTGGGTCATCCAAAAAATGTCAACTTTAGGCCAACAAAAACAATGCAACAAACTATAATGTGGTTTGTTTTTACCGCAAAGATGGCAAAGAAGAAGATAGTGGTGGGCACCACGACGGCAATACGAAATGTCCTTGGAAGCTTAATTCACGCTTGGGTGTAAGAGTATGCTGGCAATTTAAAATCACACACTACAACAAACTCCACACATGTAGCAATCCTAGATTAGAGATGAATCATAAGCACGTGTCCGCCTCTTTTATATATCGATTGATTATGCCTAATCTAAGGGAGGATCTTGATCTAATGTCAAGTGATATTCGTCTTTTAATGCATAAAGCGACCAACTTGGATGTATCATACAACAAGTGTTTGAATGTTAGGAGGAAGACGATGATAAAAATATTCGGGGATTGGGGCAAATCTTATGAGATCTTACCACATTATCTTAAAGCACTCAAAAGAGAAAATCTGGGGATATTCTATGAAGTATCATCAGACCCTGTTGATGGTGGAGAACGACGGTTCACAGGTGTATTTTGGGCAGTTGGGCCTTGTATTGAGGGTTTCAGATATTGTCGTCCTTTTCTTAGCATTGATGACACCCACTTGTATAGCAACTACAAGGGCGTAATGCTTGTTGCAACCGAAGTTGACGCAGATGGCAGATTATTTCCTTTGGCGTTTGCAATGGTTGATGTTGAAAACACAGAGAATTGGACGTGGTTTTTTGCATACATTAGATTTCATATCCCTAGTGTGGGGGGTGCGGTCGACTACGTTCATATCCGATAGGATGAAAGGATTTTCAATAGCACTCCAACGACATTTTTCGTCGCCCCATCAACATCGTTATTGCTTGCGACATATTAGGGACAACTTCAAGAGGAAGCATGGAAATGGGCAGGTTCATGATCTTCTTTGGCAAGTCGGTTGTGCAACGGAAAAATTAGTTTATGATCAACTACGAGAGAGGATTAAGTTCATTTCACGAGCTGCACATGAATGAATCGAAACTAGTTTGGGTCCACACAATATTGATAAGTGGGCTTTATGTGAAGATGGCGGGAAACGTTCTGTATGATGACTACGAACGCTTCTGAGAGTTTCAATGATGTGCTTAGGAGAGCACGCGGTATGCTAATGTAGTCACTAGTTGCAAAAATATTTTACAGACTTAATAAATTCTTTCTTCGACGTCGCACACTTAGTGAAAATATACTGTCAGAGCTGACGCCGAAGATTGAAGACATATTAGCGGATTGGATTGTGCAAGCTCGATCATTTCGTATCGTAAGATACAGTTTTAATGAATGGGAGGTCATTGAGGGAATATCACATAGAGAAAGTCGCTCTTACAAAGTCAATATGCTAGTGGATCACACTTGTACGTGCACTTGTAATGTACCGCAACTACAATGGCTTCCTTGTTCACATGTTGTCGCGGCTTGCTCTGATCTACAGGGTGGTGCGAGGATTTCACATTATGAATTCGTCGCAAATTCGTATTCAACTTACAACTATCAACAGACGTACAAAGAGTGTTTTCGTCCACCATATGATAGTCGACATTGGGCACGAGACGGGCCACGCATATTTCCTCCTTTGTATAAAAGATCAGTTAGGTGCCCTCATTCTGTACGAATCAGAAATAATATGGATGATGGTCGAGAAGGAATTAGGAGGAAAAATAAGTATAGTAGATGTGATCAACCGGGCCACAACAAAAGCAAATGTCCAGCTAGGATTAGGCATTGATTTCTAATTTAATATTTGTTCTCATGTGACATTCTAATATTAATCCTTGTTCAGAAGTGACTTGCGCTTGTTGTAATATGTAACATTCTAATATTAATCATTATTCCCATGTGGCATTCGTTTTTTTGTAATATGTAACATTCTTCTTTGAATCTTGAATCTTGAATATGTTAAATACATATGATTAAGTCATTCAACAGAAATATCTAATTGAATCTTGAATCTTGAATATGTTAAATACATATGATTAAGTCATTCAACAGAAATATCTAACACATTGTCTTTTAATATTTTAATCTCAGGTTAAATACATATGATTAAGTCATTCAACAGAAATATCTAACACATTGTCTTTTAATATTTTAATCTCAGATACATTCATTATGGATCCGGGACTGATACATGGCGACGTTTTGTACCTTTAGGCAGATCATTGTTCACACCATATTGGCTTAGGACAGGTAAAAAGTTTTTTGTATATATATTCCTTATTTTTGGTGCTAATTTTAATTTTTTTTCAATATACTTAATCAATTTTGTTTAATGTGTAGCCTGTACCAGATATCATCATGCTCGATCATTCACAGAGTCATTCGAGTTAGGTCATTGAGGATGAGAGGGTACTAGACTTGATAGCTCAAGTCGGGTTCCGGGAGTGTTCAGCAGTGAGGTATATTAGGCTTGAATGGTCCCTTATTAGTGCACTGATTGAGAGGTGGAGGCCAGAGACCAACACCTTTCATATGCATATAGGGGAGTGTACTATTACATTGCAGTACGTAGCCGTCATACTTTGGCTCTGCATCGATGGCCCGGCAGTTACGGGCACTGGTGATCATAATTGGGCTGAAGTATGTGATAGGCTTCTTGGTCAGGTTTCCGACTTGAGAAGTGATGCGATGAAGCTATCGTGGCTTCGTACGACATTTATGGGAGATATACCAACTGATGCCACGGTTGAGACGCTTCGGTATCATGCTCGTGCATATATATCACACATGATAGAGTGCATGCTATTTCCTGATGCGAGCAAAAATCTTGTACATGCACGATGATTGCCACTCCTAAAGGATTTTGATGCATGTGGCAGTCTATCATGGGGTAGTGCAGTGTTGGCATACTTATATAGAGAACTAGGTAGGATCTCCTTGATGTAGAATAAAGAATTCAATGGATGCTACACATTGATACAGATTTGATTATGGGAACGCATTCATATTGGACGACCTATTTTGTTTGTACACCGCGACCTTCAGGGCCAGTTTCCTTTGGCATACAGGTATAATTGTCCATACAATTTTATTCATATTGAATTTGTACTCATATATTCTTTATACCAAATAGGTATAATGTGCGGTACGCTAAGTACAAATCAGCGACGCGACATATAGAGTTTTACCGAAATGAGCTTGATAGCCTCCAACACCAACAGGTAAATTTAAAACTCAATTCATTATGAATATTTTAGTTTTGTTGTTGATACTGATAAATGTTTTATCTTATTTCAGTTCAAGTGGAGCCCCTATTCACCGCCAGAGCTCGATATGCATACTATTGCACCTATCTGTTGAGATAGCGTTGTTTTGTGGAGAGCCAGAGTTCTATTGATATGTTGGGAGATTGTGGAGATGCATGTCCCCAGCCGTGTGGTATGGCAATTTCTACGCTCTCAGCATGTGCCGGATCCTGTCGAGCAAATCGATCGTAGGCGATGACCTACATCGCATCGTACAGACTAGGGCGTATTCCGTGCAGCCTACATAGATAGGTAGATTAATAGGAGAAATTTCATACAAGATGAGAGATATACAAATGTTGATTATACCACGTATATGTGTTGGTATTGGGATATCACACGTAGATGGATCACACGCGACCCACAGCCATCAGGTAGATACTTGTCACGCCCACCGACAGATGGTTACATCCCTAGTTCCATGCTCGAGAGAGATTATGTAAGTTTCTAAGCTAAATTAAAACGATAATTTTTTTATTAAGATATTATTTGCTAAATTGTGTATATATTTATTAACTCGCAGATCAAAGCTTTTGATGATATTGAAGGAGATATAGATGAGCACATCAGTGACATCCAGGATCCGATGGTCGTAGGGCTCTTCAACAGGATCAAACAGAGAATAGCAAACGTGTTTCATAAGACTCATGTCGACGAGTTTGCAGGTGAGGACATGTCTCGATCATTTGGGAAAATGTACACGCGACAACGTAGGTCAAGTGATGATGGAGCCGACACTTCTCATAGTATGATGCATGCTGATGGAGTCGATACTTTTCAGCCTCATACACAACTAGATACTTAGATCATCGAGGCTAATCAGCACGAACGCAGAGGGCGGAGAAGGGGGGAAGAGTGAGGGGAAGGGGAAAGAGAGGGAGAGGAAGGAGGATGAATTTTGGGTTGTATGTGATTTTCTTTTGTTGAAATTTGTTACTTTTATGATTTTTCAAAAAATATACTTTTGTGGATCGATTATTGTTCATATATGTGATTTTCGTGAGTATTGTTTGATTCGTGTTTGATTCATGGCTGAATTTTAAGAACATTGTTGTAATTCAATATATATGTGATCGATTGTTGTTCACATGTGTATTTTCGTGAGTATTGTTTGATTCATGGCTGAAATTTAAGAATATTTTTGTAATTTAGTATATATTGTTTGCTTCATGTATATTATTTGATTTATGGTGAAAATTTCATGTATATTGTTGTGAAATACATTTAGGAAAATCGTTGTGTATATAAAAAGACATGTACAGTAGGCTGTGCATGTTTTTTATAACCTGCAGCTTCACGAGACTTGAAGTCCCATGAAGTTGCAGGCTGAATTTTCGGCTGGAAATTCAGCTCAAACTTCACGGGTCTTCAAGTCCCGTGAAGTTTTTTGCTTCTAAAAAATTTCATGAGACTTGAAGTCCCATGAAATAATTGTCACCCTTAATTGACGTCATTATAGGCTGATAAACTTTACGAGCTTTCAAGTCCCGTGAAGTTTGAGAGTTTTTTTTTTGCCAAAACCGACTCAGTTTCAGCCCGACGGTTGAAACTAGGTCGGTTTTGATGAATATTTTTAGAATAAATCATTTTTTTGCGAATATTTTTGTAAATGGGTCGGTTTTGAAAATTTATCCTCGAGAGAATCAATGACAGAGCCAAAAGTTTGTTTTGTCTTAGGGCTCCTTTATTTATTTTTATTAGAGGTTGGAGGTTGTTTTTTTTCTCTTTATTTTTTTTTTATTTATTTTTTTTTTTTTGGGGGGG